CTGACATATTGATATATATTTGCATTGTGCTAGAAAATGTGGCTAAACTGTCTGCAGTTCATATTTTATTATTGTTTTGTTCAAGTAATTTCGAGCATCGCAATCATTTTCAATAACCATGAACTTCGTACAATGAACTTCGGACAATTTTTCAGCAACTTCGAGCAGTATACTTATTCGCAAATTGGAAAATACAATAAAAAATTAAACAGACAGACCTTGTCTGTTGTTTTTCATCAAATGATATATCATTAGTCTAAAGCACAATGGATCTTTTGAAGTTTTCTCCTGCTAGGAGAACGCAAGTTCGAATCCAGCCGGAGGTGACATCTTTTATTTAATAAGATTTTTCTTATATTATGATGACAGAAGAAAATAAATATACATACTAGTTACTAAATAAAGTGATTATCTACTCCAATATGGGTATTCACTAAAAAATAACATTTAAATGATAAACTATGTCGGATTAATAAATAAAAAATCCATTATTTATCTATATTTCTGAGATGAGATATTGTAATTATTTACATTGTTCGGACTGTTGTCATGTTCACGACATTTCGGCCGTTGTACTCCCCGGCCTTCTTCAGATGATTGATCATCAACTCTCACCATCCATACATTGTAAGGAAGGGGATCATCCACTGCTTACAACATTGAGCAAAAGTCATAAGAGACATATGATCAATAAATTGTCAGTATAAGCAGTACCCTACAACGTAACTACTACCCTGGGCACATGGCACCAGCTCCGACAGACTGGGATAGAAGGGTACAAGAGGATAACAGCACACAGAAAACAGCTTCGGTCTGCTTACCCTATATGAAAGGGTCATTGGAGAAAATACAAAAGATCTGTGGTCCATATAACATAAAGACGAACTTCAAAAGTGATTCAACACTTCGCAGAGACCTCTTCCGCGTAAGACTCACTATAGTGAAGAACATGACTAAGGACTGTGTGTATGCTATTTCGTGCAGCTGTGGTAAAAAAAAAATAGAGCAGAAACAGGCCGCCATTTTGAGGTAAGACTGCAAGAACATCGTAAAGCGGTAACACGAAGGGAAATAGAAAAATCGGGCGTAGCTGACCACATGTGGAGGGAAAAGGGAGATCATCGCCCCGTATAGGATGAAGTTGGAATAACAGACGGCGTACATCACTGGAAAATACGAAAACCTAAGGAATCAGCACATATGCTAGGCCACGAAAATCTCCTAAGCCGGCCAAGCATAGAAATGAATACAATATGGGAACCAGTAATATGGAGTTCTAGAGAGAAGCAATAATAACAACAAAATTGCGATATGAGCTCTGGTAAAAATGATAACTGAGACATAAGGTTTATAAGTCCCCAAAATTCATACATTGACTTGACCCAAAGAACTGGGAGTTCAATACCTGGCTACGGCGGTGGTTTCCAGAGTTAAAAAGAGATAACTGAAACATCCGGAAGAGGCATGAACTGTGGACAAAATAACGAGTTCAGTTCAAAATTTCAATCACGGAGCATACAACGACCGCAACGTCGTAAACATGGCAACAGTCCAAATAATTTAAATAAAAAACATCCCATTACTTTTTATATATATATATATATATATATATATATATATATATATATATATATATATATAATACCATATCCCTTCTGGACATCGGCACTTATGCCACTCCATTTATTTATTATCTGCTAATTTCCTTGCGTTCTTGGGAAAGATAGTTACATAGTTTCTGCGTTGCATTTTCCACGGTTTTGGAATTCCGAGTTTTACACTGGCTACAACCTAAGACTACCCTACTCTTTAACTCATAATTCTTGGGAGAAGAATTTCATACATTCATATATTTCCTTTGTGAGAAAGTGAATGTAACAGCATTGACTAGAATTTGATCTTCGCTCGCTGAGCCTACCATCCACTACGCCACACGCCTGTCTGGCAAAGAATGAATAATAATGTGAACAAAAATAAAAATGTAGACATGTTCGACCGCTGACAAGGATTAGGCAAACATAGCTCTTAAAATTTTCCTTTCTTTTGTTGTTCCAAGTAATGTTTCTCCATTTCCATCTCTTTTTGTCTTTTTTATTCCTTCGAATCGCACAAGCTACTTAAGTAAGTTACTCGATCTTCCACCTTGGATCTCTTGCCTTCAATATATCCTGTAAGTTTTAAATACTCTAGGCCTTCTTTCGTTATAATGTGTTCTAGAAACGTAAAACAAAAAGAAACAGAGACAGCCTGAAAAGAAACTAAATATCGACATCAGATTTTTTTAATCCTCACCACAAGCAAGGCGATAAAGCCACTAAAGTGCAAGGGATCACTGACAGTGAAAGAATCTGAGAAAAATCATTATTAAGAAGTGAGGACAATAAAAGAACACTGGCGAAAAGATGACTATTGACATTGCATTTATATTCTGAAAATCAAATTTGACTGGAAATAAAGAAACTGGACGAGCGTTGACAAGCGATAATTGTTAGAGAAGAAACTGTTAGCATAGAAGTTAAGGTTACATCTAACAATCCCAACTGAATAACGATGAGACCTAGTTGCCAATCTAGTATTTTGTTTAAAATTGTCAAGTCAACAATGATGAAAGTTCATCAGAATAATTACCATGAAAATATTTATAGAAATGTCAGGGAAGCTACATTACGGTCGTAGGAAAATGACTATGATGAGATGCCAGGTCAGGACCGCAGATTTTTCTTTGTATTTTATCAATAATTGTTAAATACATAAGAGAAGCACCAGGCAATGCATCGACGAATGGTACTTATAAAGTTGTAAGATAGGTTCTGGCTAGAAAAATTCTCTATAATGAGGCAGCGAACCAAACCATTCTAACAGACGTTACAATTCAATATAATCGTTCCACTTCATGTTAATAGAAAATGTTAACCCCAGAAGGATTTAGTTTATGTTCCATATATCCATGATTGTATTCTTGATATTACGAGGTTGCTAGCTGGCTTCCTCTCGAAAATGCCTCATGAGCAGAAGCCAATTGTATTAAAATCAAGAGTCCTACTGGAATACAGTTACCCACTCGATTGCGATATTGAAGACAGTTTTCAGTATTTCAAAAAGAAATGGGATGACATGAGATAGCCTTCGTAATCCCATAAAAAATGAGACAAAGTGAACTTGATTTATGAACATAAGCTCATGCAGAAATTACATTCCTCGTCTTTACATGGTCAATTTCTAGAGATCGATATCTCCAAGTCATTCTTATCGCTACTTAGTACCACAAACATAACATGACTTTTCATCTCCCGTATCAGTGTAGAAAATGGTATGACAATACTGTCGATAATTCTTAAGGAGAAATGAGAATGCTTAAATTTGGTGCGTGCTATGTACCATTATGTTTAGTCGACTTAAAGCCCTAAAAGATGTGTTCTCGAAGACCTGGGACAGCTTTGTATATATATATATAAATGGAGACTGAAGTCAACACTGAACGGCGACAGTCTGTTTCATACTTGAACGAAATCTTCTTGGCCCGAAGAGGTGTTGACACATTTATCGACAACCTGATATATTTTCTAATTTATCTAATAATAGACATAAAATTACATGACGAATACAGCGTAAACACCTTTCTTATATATTTTTTAACTACTCAGTAAAGTTAAAATTTTTTTAGATATTTTAGCTTTTCTAATATTTTATTAAATTTTAGGTAATTTGGCTTTATAGTATCACTTACGGAGATGCATGTTGAGGAAGTTATCAATAAATTTTAAATTCACTATAGTTACCACCCTTATTTTTTAGAGTGTCGCGTATGGACGTCTGTATTTATAAATATCGGTACGTTTATACACATATAGAAAAAAATCAAAATTCTAAAATTTTAAAATTCTTAAAATCAAATTAATGTTGAGGGGGTGTAACAGATGTAAAACAAATATATATTTTCACCTAAATTTTCTAAAACAGAAACATTTAAAAAATAATTTCATTCATTTGTGAATAAGTCTTCAATGTTTCATTAAAATCCTGATTTCTGTAAAAATTTCGTAATCAATGTGTTTTTCACCGCAAAAGCTCAATCTTGCCTTACTAATTTATGAACCACCGTTGACGTCAGGAAAATAACATTTCTAACCAAAACTTCGAAGGTTCTAAAAAAGATAAAAAAAATTACATCAGAAATCTTTTTTGAACTTTACTCGTAGTAATAGCACAAAATATTGACGATAACGTTTATATATATATATATATATATATATATATATATATATATATATATATATATATATATACATTTGAATGAATCAAACATATCTATATATATATATATATAAGGTGAGAAGATGCAGAGGATAGAGAGTATTCCAGCATATTTTTCACACGTACATAAAAAAAAACTAGGTAATCTGTATGGGTAAACCTAAGTAAGATAAAATCCAGAGAGTTCAATGTAAATCCAGAGCAAATAATTTAAATAAAAACAGACCACTTTAAGGTTCCCTGTAATAAATTATTTCACCACAGCCCTTTTAAAGGACTGCGGATCATCAGACTTTACTTCCAAACAAAAATTATTTTCTTTGGAAGTAAAGTCTGATGATCGTAATTACATATAGATATGTATGAGAACTTATCCTGACCATAACGGCATTCGAATGTAACGCACTAACTAGATGCATTTGAACCTTTCGCTGCTGCAATATACTAGTTGATACTAGTTTGAGCTACTATACCACGTAACATGTCTAATTTATTTCTTGCAGCTTTTTTTTATATGTTTTATTTTTTGGCAAGGACGTTTAGCGATTTTCGTTATGGTTGATAAAACAAAAAAAGTGCGTGAAGTTTTGTATCTCTTTGGAGAAAGCTGTAGCTGAAACTGTTATAAATCCTCAATTAACTTTTAAAATCAAGTACAAAAATTTAAATATCTGGGAAATGTTTTAATAGAAGACGAAAAATGCGACACTGAAACCCGAAGGCGTATTGGCATAGCGAAACATGCC